CGGGGCGTGATTGCGGGTGCTTGTGGGGGGGGGGGCGGGGGGCGGCCCGCACGCGTGGTGGGGGGCCCTGGGGGCCCTGGGGGCCCTAGGGGCCTTGGGGGCACTGGGCAGTGGGCGCCCTGCGGGAATGGTGGACGGACCCGCCAGCTGCAGGCAAGTCTGGCTAGTAGCTACCAGTAGCCTGTGTTCTAGCTGGGCAGGTGTGGCCAGGCGATGGGAGGTTGGCCCTCGGCAGTGTGCTCAGTGGGCTGGGCTGGGGGCAATTATGGTGACATTGTGTAAATAAAAAGAAAGGGTAGTGAGTCTTGTGACGTAGTGTGTGGGCTGGGTGGGGTACCATGTGGGCGTGGGTGCGGTACTATGTGTACGGTGGCCTGGTGGGTGGGGTACTATGTTGGCAACTTGGCAGGGTGTGCCATTTATGCGGGCACGCCGGCACGGGCTCGGGGGTGGTACCGCGGGACTATGTGGGTTGGGTGGTGTGCTATGTGGGCTGAAGGTTTGTCAATGATACTCAAAAAAAATAAAATTGCACCATTTGGTCCATTTCCAATTCTGCATAGATATAAAAAAAAAAAAAAAAAACATTGCACCATCTGAATAGATATACAACCTCAGACAATACTCTCAAGACTCCCAAGAGTTTGAACAAGAGGCAACAACCAATCACAATAAGATACCTGCGACTCTGCGAGGCTACGAGGCTACGAGGATGCGAGGATGCGAGTCTGCGAGGGTAACAAAATAAAAGTACAACAAGCTGAAGTGAAGCAATTTTCTGAACGGCCTCTGCCTGCCCGGCTATAGGCTCTCATGCTACGGGCCTGGGCCATATGGCCTCCCATCCTAGTGATAGCCGGGCCTGCTTCTCGAACAACGCAACCAGCGCAAGTGTCTGATAAATCTCTCTCTCTCTCTCTCTCTCTCTCTCTCTCTCTCTCTCTCTATGTCTCTCTCTCTCTCTCTCCCTCCCTCTCTCACTGTCTCTGAGTCTCCGACTCTTCGCGGTCAAGCGATAACCCGTGCGTATGTTGAAGAGTGGCCTCCATTTTGCGCAGCAACCGCTGCGCCTGAGCTCGCCGATCTATGGGGGCAGGAATTATCGCCGATGGTGTGCCATGTGCTCGCTGCCCTTGCGGCCCGAGTCGTGTCCTCGATCTCACTCGTCGCCCTCCTCCATCATCTCCATCTGTCGCCCGTGGTTTGGGTACGTAATCGGAGTCCCCTGCATCATCAGTGCCTGTGGTCTCTCCCGGGGCGACATCTGTGTTGTCGTCGTGGATGATAAGTACACTGCCGCGTCTCTTTTGACCTGCCACTGCATTCCCTRTGCCCTCCCTGCCGACGATATCCGTCGTCGTTGCATCCCTCCCTCCAACATCCAATGCGTCGCCGTCAGGTGCAATCTGTCCGACATAGTCTGCCTGTCGAGGAGCCGAAGGTTCCAATGGCATCGCACGAGCTTCTCGGCCCGCGCCACCTCCAATCTGTTATGAGATTTGGAGTGGATGAAACTCCAACGGGACCAAGCTCTCTCGCAAGGCGAYGCAGTCGCCCACACACGCAGTATCCTGCCAGCGAAGAAGGCCGTGTGCGGGAACCTCTTCTCCTTCGACTCCCAGAAACAKGCTGGATGGGTATAGCTCCTCGCCGCCCGGTCCATGGCCACRTCGTCGAACGACGGCTCCCTGGAATGGAACTTGTCAATGGCAGTGAGGACCTCGTTATGCTGATCCGAATGTTCCGGGTACCCAAACTGAATCAGAGCGAGTTTCAAACCGTGCTGCATCTCCTCGTCATCTGGCATCGTGCGGTCTCGAAACTCGGGGTCCAACATCGTGGCAGCAACATGAGCARGCGACTTGAACATGRTGCGKCGTMTGTCAAACACTTCAAGCAGCGCGTCCTGCTCGTCCATCTCCAAAGCGGCACATGCAGACAAACAACGCGCGATCATCTCGTCGTACCGACGCAGAATCTTGCCAATCTGCCTCGTGTCGCTATCCACCATCTGCAGCATGTCCATGATGGGATCCAACAACTTGCACAGCGTTCTCATATCCTCCCACCATTGAGGACAACCGACACATGCTATGACCTCCGCGGCGTCGTCTCGAATCTTCTTCGTTGACCAAACAGTGTCCTTCCATCGATCATCAACGACCACCTGCATAAGATGTGATTGCAGCAGAAGAAGTCGTCGCATCATAATCACATGCGTACCGAAGCGAGTCTCGACGGGAAGCAGCAGAGCCTTCGTCGTGAAAGCTTGCAAAACTTCGCGAGCGTGGCTATGACGCTTGAAAAACTTTGTGACCAAACGCGCCTGAGCAATGCGGTTCGCCACCCAGTTAACTATATTATTCTCTCCATATACCTCCCTGTACCTACCTACCTACCTAGCCTGGAATGATTCACTGCTCATCTATGGACCACAAGCCATATATATGTAATAAAATYAATATTATATATGGTATTATATGCACTTTTTCTCAGCATGGGACGCTAAGGGTTATGGGTTGGATTCCCGGCCTCCCGAATGTTCTCCCTACTACTAGTAGTGGATCCCAGCCYTTTTTTTTTTTTGGCTCGACTCTGGTCTATGTRGGGAGCAGTACTCCGCGGGTCCTAACACCTGGTGCGAGCTGGAAAACGAAGTGAAGGGATACTTCCACAGCCAGCCAGGGGGCCCAAGCCAATTATCTCTGCTGGTGAACCTGAAGGCGTATCACAGGGGGCCGTGGGGGATYGAATGGACCACATCGGGAATCGAACCCATGACCTCCTGAATACCACTTACATGCTCAGCCAACTGAGCTAGCCCACTTGGGCTCCTTTTTCCTTCTTCTTTCTCGCCTTTCCTTCCTTGTTTAATAACATTGTTGACAATATTAATTCTGTGGGGGGGGGGGGAGCAGTGGGGGGAGGACATGATGAATATGAGAATTCTTCTGTTGTGGGGTAGAGGCCTCCTTTCTCTGCCAAAGGGTGCTGAGTTGACCTTTCAAATGTTTCCCTCGCCCCTACAGAGTAAAGAGCGGGTGCCACGGGATAGCAGAGGGAAACTGCGTGGGCCCACTCATTTTCAGAGGCACGTATGGTGGGGTAGAACCCTACTTTCTCTCTGTAGATCCCGCAACTCCAACTGTGTCGATCCCCTACGGTGCAGCACCTGCGCCAGCTCGCTCCCCGTCTCTCTCTCCCTCTCTCTCTCTCCCTCTCTCTCTCCCTCTCTCTCTGCCAGGCTTCCTTGACTGTGTTGATGTGGCTGAATTTCCCTGCCTGCGGGGGGCACAGAGAGAGAGAGAGAGAGAGAGAGAGAGAGAGAGAGAGAGAGAGAGAGAGAAGGGAGGGTAACAGACATATCCGAGGCCACTGCCTCTATGAGCCTCATTCAGCCCCTTTTTGGGAGCCTGTCGGCCGCCCTAAGTGAAGGCAGGCTCGATGAGGCCCCTCAGGGCCTTATTTCGGCCTCTGCGCAACTCAAGGAAATTCAGGCAGTTGCGCAGCGCCAGTTGGTTGAGAGAACCCAGGTCCTGGGCCGCCTGTGTGAATGTATGGAAAGCAGGCCCTTGGCTGGATACGGGTACTGGGCCGAACACAGGCCAAAGGCAGTTGGGCGCATGCAACCAACTCAGCCCCAAGGCCTGTTCTCGAACATGCGGGGCCYCAGGCTGCMGGGGCCTACTGGAAGCTTCCTGGGACTGGACGCAGGCAGGCCACTTCGATATAGCAAAGGGCCTGCCTCCTCATTCGGCATTCGGGTGCTGGCTGCATGCTGCGCAAGCGCTGCTGCTGCGCTAATAGCTGGCTGGCGCCTATGTGCTCACGGGCGAGCAGGGAAGGAGCAGGCAGCCATAGCCAAGCTGCGCTGCTGTTAGCTGTGTGTGGCGCAGGGTGGTCCTTGGGTGCAAGTGGCATCTGTGTGTTGGGGAACGAGGTTGTGAGTAAGGCGAGAGACATACCTGGTGCTGGAAGCGAGCGACATTGGTTGTTGTATGCTCATACTTCGGGAGAGCTGTTGTCGTCAACTTCGGCATTGTAGTATAGGCTAGATAGGATCTGCCACATGTAGTCTGGGCGCCGAGCGCCAGATAGGATATCAACTGTGGTTCTTCGTTGATGATGATGATGGGACTATTTCAGCATCGTCAATTCTGAACTCTTGGTGTGTTCTTATTTGGTGAATCTCGTGATGCAATTCTGCTGTTGGTTCGAGGTCACGACTWTCTGGACTCATATGTATGATGCTGTTTGATTGCTGAAGTTCGCTATTGCTCATCTTCCTTGCACATACAGACAGACARACAGACAGACAGACAGACAGACAGAYAGACAGAAGATGAGCAGGAGATCTCAGAGGATGAGGGCTAGAGAAAAGGAGGTCAGCACAAAACAATTGAYGAAGGCAATAGGGAATGGCAAGCAGGGGGTCACGATCAGAGAAGGAAGTGACAGCATTTGATATGCGACTGTGTGAAACGGGAATTGAAAAAAAAAAAACAATGGAGATGAAGAAGGAATAACGCACTGCTTCTTCCAACGTCTGGGTGGACAACGAACGACTTGCAATAATTAGGTTTCATTTTTAGAAATAGTGCAGYGGAACGTTTCTGCTGTCCAARCACCACTTGCTAATGTGCATTTGTGAAAAGAATGTTGTTCAAAAAGCTGGAAAACTTTTATGCAACAATATATACTGCTTTGATAAGGCGCCGGCTTGATATGCAGCGTGCCCCTTTGGGTGGCGACCCGGACCACTGTTCGCACGTTTGTGCCTATATTCTACATACTCCTGGCCACTACACCGCTCTTGGCCGTGCCWCTGGTTCTTGGGAATTATGGAATGGCGGWGCTATGGTGCAAACTATTACTGCCATCTGTGATCTCGTGCGTAATTACCCTAACCAGGCTAACCTGCAACTGTTCCAGGTCATTGACCGTATGGGTACTTCGTGTACTTCCATGCCCGCCTCTACGCCTATCTCTGTGCCTGCCTCCGTACCTGTCTCTGTGCCTGTTTCCGTACTTGTCTCTATGCCTGTTTCTGTGTCTGTCTCCTTCCGGATTACTGACTTTGTGGGTACCACGTGTACTTCCGTCCCCGCCTCTGCACCTGTCTCTGTGCCTGCCTCCACACCTGTCTCCATGCCCGTTTCTGTGTCTGTCTCCGTGCCTACCTCCATGTCTGTCACCGTGCCTGCTTTAGTCTTCATTCCCCCACATGCTGCACTAACACCTTGTGACCTCCTTCTTTGTGAGATCACTAACACAGTTACACTTGGTTGTGGAAAGCATCGACTTTGTCGACATCACTACAACCGTAGAATTTTTCGGGCCCGCTGTTGGCAGGGATGCCACCTGTATCCGGATTGTGAACATCTTGGAGTCTTGACTCTACCACTCGTCAGACATGCAAAATGAGAATGAATCTTCCGCGGGAACTGGACAAGATACACCGCCAGTCTTAACGCCGGGGCTATGTCGGTAAGCTTCGTCCTCCCTGTTCTAGTTATCTCGCCTTCACCGCACCTCCCCCATCTTCAACCTTGTTCCCAGCTTCTACTTTAACAATCTCTCTATTTACGTCTTCTTTCATAGCGCACCTGACCAACCTCTCGTCCACGTTCATGCGGCCTCTTGTTTACTTTGGCGGGCCAACCATCACGCTTAGTGCCGATCCCGAATGCCCGCGCAACCTTAATGAGCACATCAATCACGATCACAATGGGGACGACCGCCACACGGAAACGCTCATGACGGATGCAGGTGAGTAGAGCCCAGCTGAAATAGTGATCAATGCGAGTGGGCACGTCGCGCACGATGAGCATGAGGGCTTGAACACTCATGATGGTAACATTAGGATCATCCCCACGATGGCGAATGCTATGGACGACCTCGATCCTAATACTGGCGCGCGCGATTATAACCGCCCCTCACTTACTCATAAAATAGGCCAAAAGAGAATGAAATTTCCCCTAGATTTGAGAAGATTCATTGCCACTTGTTTTCCTCGATGAAAAGGAAAAAAAAGCGCAGCCTCTAACCTTCATAACGCCAAATCCGGTGCTCCGGTTTGCCTCAAAACCTACGATTAGCATCTTCTCTTGCTTATTTTCACCAAGAAATGAGCAAGATACACCATCCTCCTTCTCCCTTCTTTTTCCTCCCTCGACATGTCCGCGCACCCCTTCTTCTCCACGAACTCCTACTCCACTAGTCTAACTCCGAAATTGCCCTCACTATCACGTTCACCCTGTTGTAAAACTCTGGATTCGGTTCTTAGTTCGCCGAAATCCATTAGGATTTGAAGACGCTATGTTCTTTCCGCCTTGTCACCCCCTCTTCTTTTTCATCACCATCTTCGTCACCTGTTTCGAATGCATCTGGCTTGAGCCACGTCCAGGTGCACTCTCCCTGCTTCTACTTTGACCGCCCGTTTTCTTCTTCAGTGTGCCTTCCTCTCTCCTGTCCTTGTGAGAGATGGTTAACGGGTGCATATATTTTCAGGTCTCCTTTCCGGCAGTTCAGCCACATTAGGTTACTACACTTTCGGATTGTGTGTGGATCTATACATGCGGTTGTTTGAAACCGCCTTCAGGCAGTTCAGCCACTTCAGGTTGATCCATTGCAAATAGTGGATTGGGGGTACCTGAAACCCCTTTTAGAAGCTTCAGCCACTTCAGCGGCTTCAGGTCCCCACCTGAAATTCCTGAAATGACCTGAAGTGGCTGAAAATTCTGAAAGGGGCTTCAGGTACCCCCATCCAACCATTTGGATGGGGGTACCTGAAACCCCTTTCAGAAGCTTCAGCCAGTTCAGCGGTTTCAGGTCCACTTGAAATTCCTGAAATGTCCTGAAGTGCATGAAGCTTCTGAAAGGGGTTATAGGTACCCCCATTCAACTTTTTTGATGGGGGTACCTGAAACCCCATTTAGAAGCTTCAACCACTTCAGCGGTTTCAGATCCCTATCTGAAATTCCTCAAATGACCTGAAGTGGTTGAAAAAACAGGGAACCCCTCCCCCCCCCCCCCCCCCCCCATAAAACTTGTCCTGCAAACCACTCGAAACTTCTGAAATGACCTGAAGTGTCTTTAGGTTGTTTTAGCGGTTTCAGACCGCTTCAGAATCTTTTATTCTGAAATTTCAGGTGGTCGTTAACCGCGAGTGGTCTTTGTCCCCCTCGTTCTTTTGCTCGATCGTATGTTCGCACGCTCGCTACTCCTTCCTCACATCTGCGT